AATCCAGTGGCGTAGTGATTTTTTCTATAAAAAAATCGCTAATAAAAAATCCCGATTTTCGACTAAGAAAAAATATCGTAGTATGCCCTGAAAAACAGTACTTCAAAAACACAGACACAAAAACAATATGTGCCGCTGGGTATTACCCCTGACAATAATTCTATGGGAAAAATCTGTCAAAAATGTCATAATCAGTATATAAACAAGAAATATCACTATAAAAAAGAATTTCCACAATATGGACAAAATTATAAATTACAAATATAAAAGGAAACAAACTAAAATATATCAGAGATCAAACCGTGGAGATACATACATACTACCTACACAGAAGGTTCTGGTAGATACCTCCTGGAGAACAACTACTTACTTCCCTGGCTGATACCACGCTGGACATTGATTTATATCTTATATCCGAACGGACATGTATGCAACATACCTCACAGAGGTTAGTCTCGCAAATATTTCTCGATCAACCAGCAGCAGGACCATGCTGAAATTATTCGAGTTGATCACCTACAGACCGGTTTCGAGGAATTACCTCTCATCAGTGCAAGAGATGCTTCATCTAATAGAAAGATTATTAACTAGTAACCATGTACCAATATAGAGATCAAACCGTGTCGTAAAGACTATATCGAGGAGAGATACATGCAAACTAGAAAGTAAATATTTCGAAATAAAATCTCAAAATATTCATTTCTTCCAACTACCTATACCGTAGGTTCTGGTAAATGCCTGCGAATCTTTCCTGCACTCATGAAGGGTAATACCTCAAAACCGGTCCGGTCTGTATAATAATTCCAGCAGGCATAAATGTCTGTCGGATACAATTCAAAGTTCAGCGGGGTATTAGCCGGGCAAGTAGTTGATTTCCGGCAGGCATTTATCAGAACTTAAGTTGTAGGTAGTTGGAAAAGATGAATATTTCAAGATTTTATTTTGAGATGTCAAGAAGGAGGTTGATGAAGTCATTACTATATAATAATTATAACAAGGGTCCAAAAAGGGATCCTTGGGGAACCCGTTCAACTGTGAGACACTGGCTGTAAGTGTTGTTGATGATTACCCCCTGTTATCGATTACTCAAGTATTAAAAAAACCCAATTTCAATATCAAAGAATAATAAAAGTGATTTTTTCAAACAAGTCAGAAGCGAGATATAACATGCAAATAACATTAAAGTCATCATTGCATAAAATGATCCAAATATAAATACACGAGAGAAGTAATATAATAAATATGAAAGAGTGGATTTACAGTATTCATACATAAATGAAAGAAAAGCTGAATTGAAAAATAAAACTTCCCCCTTGTAATCTACATTCGGATTATTTCATGCAATGAGATTTATGTTATAAAAACCTGATGATTCTCTTACATGAGAGCGATTCAAGAATGAAATAACAATTCAATCTTCGGATGCATGAAGTTTAGTAGTTGAGTTAAACATAACTAACAAATTAATACTTCTCGCACCAACACAATAGAATACAGTCTTTCTGTGAACAAATTCTGTGATTTGGTACATGAAGAACAATGTTGATAATCCAGCATAATTTCACAAAAGTACAGCTATTCAACTATGCAGTTGAATTAGATATTCAAAATGAATTCAATCTCACCTCATGAAATGTAGCATCGATATTTAGTGGAGGATCTTTTGCACTGGTTTCAATATATGGAATTCCCAGCTTGTGAGCTAAATCTCTGCCCTGCTCCTCTGTGATTTTTCTCAAATGGACAAGATCGACTTTATTTGCTACCAGTAACATTGGATAAGTATCCCTGAAATTCAATCAATGAATCTTGAAAAATGAAAATTTTGTTTTGATAGTATGGATATATTAGATTGTTTCGAAAATTGTCATGTGTTTTTGTAGCTCCATATCTCAATGAATATTCATTTACATATATCTCCTGGATATACAGTTATAGATAAAGAATATTGTACTTTATACATTGACGCTATTCATTTTTTGACAAATTTCAAAAAGTATCAAATGAAGATTGTTTTACCTATCTTTCACTCGAAGGATTTGTGTATGGAAATGAATGATATTTTCATAACTATTTTTGTCTGTGACAGAATATACTAATAAAAATCCATCGCCTTTTCTCATATACTGTTCCCTCATCGCACTGAATTCTTCCTGACCCGCAGTGTCCAGAACTAAAAATATCAGAATTAGTCTGCGGATCATACTTTTCAGATCTTACTAACCATCTAACATACACCACTGGCCATCCACTTCAACATGTTGCATATAACTGTCTTCTATTGTAGGATCATAATCAGTTACAAATAATTTCTGAAAGAACTGAATAGTGATGGCACTTTTTCCAACACCTCCATCTCCAACTACAACTAATTTCACAGTTGGTAGATTTTCACTGGGAGGTTTCGTCATCATTCAAATGTGGTGCTTTCTAGCTTTGCTACCTATTGTACCCTATAAAAATGAGTGCTGCTTGAAAAAAGGGTCTGCCCAAATTTTCGAAAAAGCAGAGAATTTGGGCAGATTGGTTAGATTGAGTTGAATAAATACTAAGGAAGTAATAATGAATTCAGACTTTGCATTTTCAACCTTAAATGTATCCTTCATGAAGCAATATATGTAGATAAGGTTCTTTCATTTCATTGTGCACATGTGAAGCAGATTTTCAATAATTAAATAAAGATATAATATGAAAGTAATAATTTGGTACACTCATGTTTAAATTTCGATTTCTAATGGCACTTTAAGGCAGATTATACCATTTTGTCTAGAATGTGAATCAAAATCTTCATTCTTGTGTTAATTCATGCATTCAATTAATTATATGACATTAGTTTTTGTCGATTACTTGGATATTATTCAATTTCACATAATTTAAGTTAAAGCAGATATTGTAATATAGATTGAATATAAATCTATTGCGCCGATTATTCAAGTAAAATAATTTATGGATTTCCATGTGTATTTTTACAGAATCGTTCATATGATATTTGCAAGAATAAAAAATGGAAATGCAAATTATACTATACCTATTGCCACAAATACAGATTAGGAAAAATTCTGACATAATAGTTTGTATAGTCAAGAATGTTAATTTTTCAAACAACAATTTTTGATTTGTAAACCAGAGAAATTCAATGTTTCCGGCGAAACGCGACTTGAATAAAATTTATACTGTGAAAATTATACGGATAATTATTATCTCCACTAGTGGGGCAATAAGAAATAATACATTGTATATTCGTTTTGTTTTCATGTTTTAATCATAAATGAATCATTATTGAGGTTATGCAGTCATTTTGTAAGAATGACAACCCTTTAAAAAACGTACATTTTTGTGATTCCATGTTTGATGACGTTGCATACGAAGGCATGATTGAAAAATAATTTCGAAATCATCCTAGCGAAAAAGAATGGTTCTAATTTTTGATAAGTCATAATGATAATATGATATGTCATTGTCAATACCTCAGCCTCAAAGTAATAAAGTCAATACCAACTGGAAACAAAAAGCTGCGTTTTTTTGCTACCAATACCGGAATAACATTTCGTCTGAGGATTCGACATAGGACATGTGACTTATTTGAAAAATAAAGGATCCTAATCTAATAGATAATTTAGAACTTGTATACAGAAAAGTTGTACCTGCTTTTACGAGCACAATAAATGTAAAATTAAACTCTCTGATTACCTCCTAAACAGCACAAACATATTCACTAAGCATAATGATGACAATAGATGAATTTATTCGATTTAATCCTAAGCAAAGGCACTAAAATTTTAAAATGTCCTGGGTATAATGCAAATGTTGAATTGATACTTGTGATAATTGAGTGCCTATGCTAAAATATGAATTATCTAAAAAATCCAGTTTTGGTTGCGAGGATTCAATATTTTTTTGGTGTGAAGACTGAAATAAAAGCTACCCATGAGCAGAAGAAAGAAAAATCAAATAACAAATATATAATTGAAAATAGATTTTGGTACTACCTGTTTCTGTTTGGAACAGCTTTGGGAGATGAGACATTTTATGCATTCTTTATACCATTTTGGTTTTGGAATATTGATGGAGCAGTCGGTAGAAGATTTGTTCTAGTTTGGTCTATTGTTATGTATATAGGTTTGTTAGAATACATTTTTTTTTTCAACATTTTGAATTGTGTTTATATTTCAGGACAAGGTATCAAAGATATCATTCGTTGGCCAAGGCCGGGTCCTCCTGTGGTACAACTTCAAAATAAATGGGCTGTAGAATATGGCATGCCCTCAACACATGCCATGGTTGGAGTTTCAATTCCATTTTCAGTTTTTCTATTCACTTTGAATAGATATCAGTACAGCACTTCTCTAGGCTTGTCGGTAGCAATATTATGGTGTACCCTAATATGCGTCAGTAGGTTGTACCTTGGCATGCACACAATCTTGGTATGTTCATTATTAATACAGGGAATCTCAAATTTTTTTTTGATAAATTCCTGAACTCTAATATTTTGAATGATAGGCAACAAATCGAAAGATTTGAATGTTTGAAAATTTAGAAAAAGTGTTACAAATATATTTTCAAATTGCTGATAATTTTTTTTCTAAACTTTAGTGTCGTGTAAAGTTGAATCAATCATCTTTATTCAGGAGTTGAACAGTTTGAATGATGATATATACAATTTGAAAAATTAAGGAACTTTCCCCACATGTTATCGATTTTAATGCTGTGTGAAGTACAGATTCAACTATTCATTTTGTATAACCTTTTTTTCCATAAATTCAAAGTTTTTTACTTATATTTGTAGATAATCAGAACTGTTACAAACAACCACTTCAGTTCATATTTTGTGGGATGATTGATATTTACGTTTACTTCATTGAAAATTGTGTTTAATTGTATATGTAACAAAACCAATTATGTTTTCAGGATATTATTGTGGGTTTAATTTTAGCAGTGCTCCTCATGTGTGTTATGGTGCCATTTGTTGATCTTTTAGATGATTATTTACTCAGAAGCTCTACATCTCCACTTTTGTTGTTAGTTTCATCTATCTTAATGATCGTTTACTACCCCAACAGTGGTAAATGGACACCGACGAGGTGAGTTTTTAATTCGAATTTGGTTTTTATTCATTATTTATTGTATTCCCTTTGAAATTACATTATTATTACTATTGTTTTTAATATTATAAACCCTTCCTTCAAGCTTCTTCACCATAAAAACTTAAGACTTACATAGAAAATTTCAATTTCAAGGATTTAAGTTACAATAAAAAACTTGAATAGTTATTCTTTCAAAGACATGTTCTATGGAGGACTCAATACTTTCAATGGTTATTTGGGTTTATAATAAAAAAAACAGTGGAAGAAACTTGAAAATTTATAGTTGTAATCATTAAATTATCCATATCTATAGGCATTGTACCTGGTTTTGTTTTGAAGTTTTGTTGAACTCAGTGGCTCATCGCATGATTTTAATTCTAAAATTCATATATACATTAAAGTATTAAGATTTATATCCCAGCCTAAAAACAAAGATGACGATGCAAAGCAAAAAAGCAGAATTGTGTCCAAGGCAACAATATTTACCAGTGAAGATAATAATAAACAGAAAGTTTAGTGATGATAGTGACAGAGAGCATCATTAGAAGAAGAGGAGAGTATCATCAGGTTCAGATTCCAGCAGATCTAGAAGTCGATCAAAATCAAACAGCAGATCAAAATCAAGGTCTAAGAGTGGCTCATGGACGAGATCTAGATCAAAGTCTGAAAGTCGGTTAAGGTCAAGACTCATACCATATTCCAAGAGCCTGAATGTTGACTTATACTGACCATACTGTAACTAAATGTTTGGGAAACCCATGCACAACTCATTTTGTGGAAAAACATACATATGCATATTTGTTGAAACAAAGTAAACAAAAAAAAGTAGATGTAGATTAAAAAACAAATCTATCTCATTCAGAAAAGATTCTAAATCAAAGTCTAGAGGCAGTTCAATATCTAGGAGAATATTCAGATAAAAGTCAAGGTCCAAGTCTAGGAGTAGATCAAATTCAAAGTCTGTATCTACAAGTAGAATAAATTTTAGGTCTGCAAGCAAACCTAAAACAAAATCTTGATCCAGTAGTGGATCCAAATCGATATCTGTATCTAAAAATAGATCAAAATATAAGTCTAGATCCAGAAGTAGGTCCAAATCGAGGTCTAGAGGTCTAAATCTAGAAGCAGACACAAATCTAGATCAAAGTCTAAATCTAGAAGTAGATTAAAGTCTAAATCTGGAAGCAGCTCCAAATCTAAATCTGAAAGTACATCAGAGTCTGGATCTAAAAGTATATCGAAGTTTAAATGAAAGTCTAGAAACTTGTCCAAGTCAAAATCCAGGTCGAAGAGTCCTTCAAATCATTATCCAAAAGCAGATCGAAATCTACCAGTGAAAAAGGTTAGCGAGTAGCTTCTCCTGATGAAAGTGGCTGAAACGTTTGCTACTGTTTTGATAGTCAGCATAAGTTCTTATGCGTTTTTTTTTATTTGTGCTGGTAACAGCTATGCGTTATCCTAGTTAATAAGTGTTCAAATCTCGGTGAATACTTATTCAATCTAATCCAACACAAGTCGATTAAATGCGTACTCGAGATTCAACGAGGTCGACGAAGACCGTTTTTAGCTTGTCCTGATTGGCAAAGGTCCTAGACCTGGGAAAATTGTCGAAATGCTTGAAAAAGTGGTAGTCCGTTGGCGAAAGGTCTGGGGAGTATGGAGGGTGAGGCAGAACTTCATCGCTCAATTTGTTTAATTTTCGGGTGGTGATTTGTCAAACGTGCATTGTCGTGAAGCACGATTGGACCTCTTCTGTTGACCAGTGCTGGCAGCTGCTAAAGTGTATCGAAGTTTAAATGAAAGTCTAGAAACTTGTCCAAGTCAAAATCCAGGTCAAGGAGTCCTTCAAATCATCCAAAAGCAGATCGAAATCTACCAGTGAAAAAGGTTAGCAAGTAGCTTCTCCTGATGAAAGTGGCTGAAACGTTTGCTACTGTTTTGATATTCAGCATAAGTTCTTATGCGTTTTTTTTTAGTTGTGCTGGTAACAGCTATGCGTTATCCTAGTTAATAAGTGTTCAAATCTTGGTGAATACTTATTCAATCTAATCCAACACAAGTCGATTAAATCCGTACTCGAGATTCAACGAGGTCGACGAAGGCCGTTTTTAGCTTGTCCTGATTGGCAAAGGTCCTAGACCTGGGAAAATTGTCGAAATGCTTGAAAAAGTGGTAGTCCGTTGGCGAAAGGTCTGGGAAGTATGGAGGGTGAGGCAGAACTTCATCACTCAATTTGTTTAATTTTCGGGTGGTGATTTGTCAAACGTGCATTGTCGTGAAGCACGATTGGACCTCTTCTGTTGACCAGTGCTGGCAGCTGCTGACAAGCATTTCAGTACATTTTGTCAATTTCCTCACGATTAGACTGTTGTGATGGTTTGGCCCGGTGGCAGACAGTTATAGTGAATCCCACCAATCGCTGACAACTATACAGTCAGTGGAAAGTGCCACGGTGGCTCATCGATTTATCAAATCATGATACACCCATTTTTCGAACTTTTTGATCTTTCCAATACGTTTCAAACCATCAGAAATTGCATGAGAGCTGATGCCCATTTCTTTCAAGTTAGGAATCACACATTAAAAGGTAAGACCTCGTTAATCCTTAGCTCGCACAAGTTTCGACTTCTGAGGGTTGTCGTTCGTAGAGGTGCATCGGCTGGTTAATGGAAAAATCTATTTTAAACATATTTTTTCATATTTATCCGCCATCCTACGCACTGTTTGTGATTGGTCTATCTCAACAAGGGACCTCATATACTCGTCCTGGATTACTGTAGGTCGACCACTTCGGGACTCAATTTCGCGGCTGAGATCTTCGGAACGAAATTTCACAAAACAACGTAGAACATTGTCATCACCATATGACTGGCAAATTTTCATGGCTGTTTCGGCAGCGTTTTGGTTCAACTTGAATTCGTTAAGAAAAATTTAAAAAAATTAGGAAAAAACTGAAAAACCCGACAAATAAGAATAAATATTTATTGAGATATGGTGCTACAGAAACACATGACATTAAAACAGACAAAACTTTTGAAACAACCAATATAATGAATTGTTTCTGTAGATCAGTTGAAGCAATCTTGCTGAACAATGATTACTGGTTTGATTTAATAGAAATAGATTTATTTGAAATAGATATCCTAATATACTCTTCTTTGATCTGAGTAAAGCGTTTGATACGGTCGATCACAATCTCCTAGTTGAGAAACTCTATCACATTGGTGTTAGAGGGACGCCACTAAATTGGCTCACATCGTATCTCGAAAATCAAAAACAAGTATTGATACTGGGTAGTGCAAAATCGGAAGAGAAAACTGTAAATGTAGGGGTACCTCAAGGATCGCTACTGGGTCCAGTACTGTTCACTATTTTTGTCAATGATATCACCTCAACATGCAAACAAGCGCACAAAATAATGTATGCAGACGACACAATTATGATAGTGAGAGAAAACAACTTAGCAAAAACAGTAGAAACTGCCAACACCATTGCAAACCAATTTCACACATGGTGTACCAGTACGAGCTTGTGTGTGAACAGAGAAAAATCAAATTTCATCTCATTCATTCCAAAAAACATCAATAATACGTTCTGTTCCCTGATTAGAATTGATGGCAAAAGTATTGAACAGGTCACATCAACGAAGTTTCTAGGTATTACCTTGGACCATAAACTAAGCTGGGAAAACCATATTAACAGCTTATATAATAAACTGAGTAAAAACTGCTTTGTACTAAGGCAATTGAAGAATACAGTGTCAAATGGACGTGCTGTTATTGGTTTACTATGTATGGTTTGATACAATCAAATATATTCTATGGGTTGATATTTTGGGGAGGCTCAACTCAAATAGAAAAAGTATTTCTACAGCAAAAGAAAAATTTGTTTTTATAGAAAGATCCGTTTTTGTTGTATTAGTGAGATAATTTTTTGTTGAGTTGTCTACATGTTTATATTGTTTATGAATCGTGCTTTTTTCATTATCTCGGGATAGTATATCTTCTAGTATAAAAATTTTCTCATTTAATAATGAAATAATATTTTCTTTGTCATTAATTATGACGTCCTTGTCCAGAAGTATCTGCTTCAGTAACTTGTTTTCTTCTTTGAGAAAGGATTCTTCTGTTAGGTAGGGTACATCACCATATTCATGAGAGGGTTCATTCAAAGCTTCATCACAGCAAAATTTGATTCTTTTTGCACAACTGTTATGATACGGAGTTTTGAACTTTACGCACTCAGGGCCTGTTGAGACATACTTTTTGCAATATTTGCATACTTTCTTCACCTTAGCACCTGAACCATAGCAACACCCTACCAGTTATTCCATAATACTCTAATTTTGATAGCAAAATAGATATATCTATAGTTTCGAATGCTCTTTTGAAATCCAAAAATACTGCTACTACAAATTTATTGTCATCAATTGACAGTTTCCATTTAGACAAGGTGAGTTGAGGAGCAGTTTCACATGAGTGTTGCGATCTAAACCTGATTGATACTCCATCAAAAGGTTGTTGTCTTCGATATATGTGCATATTTGGTTATAAGCGGCTAACTCTAACACTTTTTCTAAAGGAGGCAGAGTGTTTATGGGACGAAAGTTGAAGGCTTCATTTGCATTGTTAACTTTAGGCACAGGGACAACTGTACTAATTTTGAGTTGATCTGGAAAGTGCCCATTTATCAAATACCTTTTTCTTCGAACCTGCCACAACCGAAGAGGTCAAATCAACAATATTCAATCTCAAAAGTAAAACGGCATCAGGACCTGATAATGTATTTCCCAATGTTTTGAAACTAGTTTCCATTAGTGTGGTGCAACCCCTAACTGACCTGATCAATATGTCTATTGAAACAGGTGAATTTCCAGATGCGCTGAAATTGAGTAAAGTGATCGCCATACATAAAAGTGGTAATAGATCAGGAATTGATAATTATAGACCAATTAGTCTTCTCAGTATTTTTTCAAAAATTTTAGACAGACTAATGTACAATAGACTAATGAAATTTTTAATAAGTCATAAAATTTTATCTGATTCTCAACATGGATTTCGCATGGGCAGATCAACTGAATCTGCTACTACCCTTTTTGTTGATTTCATATCCAGGAATATGGACAATAGGAAGCACGTGGCAGGAATTTTCTTTGACTTGTCAAAAGCTTTCGACTGTATTGATAAAGTGTTTATGGCTTCCAAAGTGTATAATATTGGCATTAGAGGAAATATTCTTGACTGGATCATTTCATTCCCAACAAATAGACAATTCTTTTTGTAGAAATAGATAGTGTTGAGTCAGAAAGATATTCAGTTGATGTTGGAGTAGCGCAAGGTTCAAATCTGGGACCATTGCTTTTCTTACTATTTCTCAATGTCCTCCCAATCAATGTCGATAGGCGCTTTTATCTCATCAATTTTGCTGATGACACAACATTTGGTATAGCTGAGTCATCTATGGAGGATATGATTTTATCGGTTGAACACTGTATTAGTGAAATGACAAAATATTGTCATTCCAATAAACTGATGCTAAATGCGCAGAAAACAAAAATTATATATTTCAATAAGAACAATTTGATCAATAGTGAAGTCCTACAGACACATAACTCCACTAAGTTTCTGGGTGTAATGACTGATAAATCACTCTCATGGTCTGAGCATATTGAAAGTTTATCTAAAAAACTCTCCAAATCCTACTTCGCAATTCTGCAATTGAGGTATGAACTTCATGAGAATATACTTATCCAAGTTTATTATGCATTAGTATATTCTGCACTATCATTTCACATCACGTTATGAGGAAATGCTACAGAAATAAATGGGATATTTGTTACACAAAAACGAATTGTTAGATTGATGTTCAACATGAAGCCACGGGACTCTTGCAGGGAAATTTTCAAGAGTAAAAAGATTATGACAGTTTGCTGCATTTATATATATAAATGTTGCTTGCACATTAAAAAACATGAAAATGAGCTAATGAAAAACAATTACCAAAATCAATATTGCACTAGAAATGCTTCAAATGTAATAACAACGACTCACAGAACATCCGCATTTGAAAAATCGCCAACTTATGCTGGGGTAAAAATATATAATAAACTCCCTAATCTAATGAAGGCCTGTAAAGAATTGTTGCTTTGATATCAAGAATACTTTCCATTAAAAATGTATTAAAGCTTTCAGCTTTGTCTTGGTCTAACATCACTCTGTGTGTCAAATACAATTACATCAGGAAGGGGACTTTTATCGGGTTTAATAAAGAAAGAATTCCACATTTTCTTTGAATCATGCGAACAATCATCAATCTTCTGTTTGTAGTAGTCAGCTTTTTTCATTTTCAACAAATTAACCACTTTATTTCTATAACTTTCAAAAACAGCCCAATTAATTACTGTGACATACATATTTGGAAACAGGCCATTCCTTATTATTATTATTATTAGAGTGCCAATTGAGTAGAGTTGATTGCTTATTTTTTTGTTGCAGAGGAGATACAACTATGATCATTTCCGTTTGTGTTGGAATCCATATAGGAGCTTGGCTCAACTTCCAAACAGGACTGATGACTCCAACAGAACTTGCAGCTCCGTATGTTATTATGTGGCCCTCATATACCATGTTAGGATGTATGGTTATGAGAACCTCAATTGGATTTACATGCGTCATACTCTCCAAAGATATTTGTAAAAACCTCACCTACAATTTTCTTTGCACTTTGCTGAAAGAGGATGTGGATAACCTCAAAAAGTCCGAAAATACTTTGCAAAACAAGCACAAGACATTTGTTGAATTGTGCTATAAATACATTTATTGTTCAATGGTTGGCTTCAATACAGTTTACCTACTTCCACAGCTATTTAGATTTTTAAAAATTGAACGACCAACATTTTTCACTGAAATCTGATTATGGAGCGTTAGAAAAATTGTTAATGAATTTTAAAAATCGATTTTAGAGACTAAAATTAGTGAAAGAGGGAGATTTCTCCCGCGCAGAGATTATCACTTAATTTTATCGTTCATCACTTTGGCATCATATTTGTGATACTTTTTATAAATAGCACCACAGGTCTAGAGCAGAAAAGTTCCGTGTTGATCGAGATAAGAGACGATGAAAACATTTTCAGTTCAGGAAAAACATATTTTGTTGTGTCCTAAAATATCATCTAAAAAAAAAAATGTATCCAACCTTCTTTAATATGAAATTTCCACATGTTTCGCTATGCGACAGCATCTTCGGCCGTCATTATACTGTTCCTACAAATTCTGTATTGTGCTTTTATAGTAATTTGAATCACTATGACTATTGCTACCTGCCAAATGAAATTAATTACCTAAACTATTTAACTATCTAGGAATACCTCATACCCGGGCTATCATTCAAGATCTGTTCTAATTTCCAATTTCCTCATTGCAAACTGAATTCAATAAAGGGGAATGATTCAAATTTTTCGATCAGTGAGCAATGATCCCCAATTTTCATGTCTATTAATTTCCAAACATTCCAAAAGGTTGAGTTTTGAACCATTCTCTTCCAAATGCAACATGTCATAATCGTGGTTGAACTCGTGCCTCTTTGTGAAAATATGATTCGCAAATGTTGAATTGGTCTTTCCATTCAAAAACTACTTATATGCTCTTTCATTCTATTGGAAAAAGTTCTTCTGGTTTGCCCGATATAATAATTTGGACAAGAACCACAAGTCAACTTGTATACTCGAGATCTATCAGACACTGAAGTTTTATCTTTATAGTTTTCAATGAATTCACTTCAATTAATATTTGTTCTGTAGGATATGTCCAATTCTTTGTTTTTTAAAAAACAAGTGATATTATTAGTAGGATCACCAAAGTGAGTTAGAGTTACGTAATGTTTATTATCATTTTTTGAAACTGGTTAGACCTGGTTCAGAGCTTATTTCTGCAATTTTCAGAAAGAATTGAGTCGATGATATCCACCTGATTTTTGACAACATGCAAAATTATGTTTATTATTAATTCAAGTGATTTCAAGTCTAGAAAATCTATAAAGTTATTCACTTCACGACTGAGATGTAAACTTTCCTAGTATCTGAAATTTTGTGTATTTATGCCTGAAGATGGTCTTCGAAAGTGTGCATTGATGTTTTTCATTATTGAAGGATCATTTATCACTTTGTCCGTGAATCTTTGAGATGCTACTATTTATAGATTTTTGTACAATTCTGATTCTATCTACCAACGTGCACTATTCATGTTAGAAGAGTTGAATATTTAATTTCGATAATATATTGCTGTTTAAAAATGTTATGGATCTCTCTCTTTTTCTGATAAACACTTCCTAATTCAGGATTCATACCATCAATGATATACAAATTTCTTTTTTTAGCATAATCAACTACTAGTAGTAAAATTTACACCTTCTTAAAAAATTGACTACATGTTTCACCAAATATGTAAATAAATCATAGAAAATAATCGTGGTCAAGTCATATCATTCAACAATGTTTAAAAATAACTAACAAGAAGAATTCCACATATTTGGCAACTTGAAAATTTTACACTTGATGATTTTTTAGAGGGAAAATGTGTGGTGTCGGAAGTGACTTCGGAAAGGCAAAAGAACCACATATTTTTACCATTTGTTTCTTGGAAATTTCTACTTTAATCTCGTAATTTCGAGATTGAAGTCGAAATTTTGAGATAAAAGTCGAAATTTTGAGATTCAAAGTCAAAATTTTCAAGAAACAAATAATGATAATAATAATACATCATCTCTTATAATACTTTCCAGATGTTTGCTTTAGGCCTGTTTATGCTGTGCTTTACCTCAATACTGCATCTTTTACTTTTGTTCTCCTTGTACTTTATATTTTGAATTTACAAACATATTGTGAGATTCTTGGTACAGCTAGTCAACTTTGAAGGGAAGACATACACTTCAGCCATTTATCTGTACCTTCCAGAAATAATATTAAGATGAAAATATATACTACCAGAAGAAAGTTGAAGAAAAAGGTTAACAGTAGGGGAAAGAGCAATGACTAGTTTTTGTGTGCTCCTCCGAAATTTCCTTGGCCATTTATTCACAGTTACATCAGGAATTGCCACTGTTGAAAATATTTCTTGAGAAAATGCATTTGAATATCAATTCTTTACTAAAAATCCTGATGGCTGGTTGAAAAGTAATGATTTATAGAAATTATCAGTTTGACCACAATATTAGTTTTGAAAAAGTAATATTCTTCAAATATTTTTATGATTCTAGTTTCTACACGTGCCTGCAGACCACACCACAATTCAATACTTTCTTTGTGGTGTTGTCTAATTGTGTGGCAGTATCAGATTCTGAAGAAGCTTTTAATTGTGTGGCTATTAGACACCAAAAAATATATTGTTTAATGAAATACGTTGTGGTTTTTTAAAACTGAAAATTTCTTTAAAAAAAACCTGCAGACCACACCACGATACAATAATTTCATTATGTTGTTGTCTAATTGTGTGGCAGTATTAGATTCTGAATAACCTTCTAATTGTGTGACTATTACACACTAAAAAATCTATTGTTTGATGAAATATGATATGAAATATTTTAAGAGTTTCTAACTAGGATAAGTAAGAGTCATTTTTTCTAGAAATTCTGTATACTTGATAAACTTTCAACTTCATAGATTAATAATTTTCACTTTCATAACACACATCTACAATTTTACTGTAAGTACAACCCCAGTGTAATATATTTATCCTCCCACAAGAGGCATTGTTACTGTTAAAATCTGAAAAATAAAAATGAGTCATTATCTGATGTTTTATTGTTTCCAAGGTTCCAACTTACTTTAGTAGATTTGTCAAATGATGAGGAACAGTTCTTTTGTTTCACAATATATGGCACAAAAATATCCAGGAGATAGTTTCTTGTTTTAGACTCTAGAAGAATTCGATCTTCGCCAATATCCAAATCTACTTCCTGTGCAGATATCTGAAAAATATTTATCTGCTATTGATTCACTACCTAACACAAACCTTAATAGTAACCTTAATAGTAGGCACTAAATTCTCAGAAATGACTGACGTTCTTGCCTTAATCTGTCTCTTGCAGTGGCATATGGAAATTATATTAAACACATAAGGAAAAATGATGATAGAATATATAGAATCACAATCTTGACCACTATGTTTCCGTTTTAATGCACTAATATTTCTGAGAATTTAGTGCCCACAGTTATGGATTTGTACTATAGTAAACAATAAAATTACTAGATTGTCACACTCATACATAAAACTCTTCGATAGAACGAATTTAATCAGTATTATTCATCCATCTTTTGGGGTTATTTCAAAACCTTTTTTTCGTTTTAGAGTCCACTTAAACTGGAATATCTTCAATTTGATCGAAATAAGCGTAATTTGGATCAGTGTACTTTTGCCAACATAACACAAGTTGACTAATTCCGTCAGCATAAAAACTGTGTGCTAGGGATTCGATGAAATCAATGAAGGCCGTTTTTGCCTGGTCTTGATACTTTTAGGCATCTGGAAGCAATATATTATGTGTCAAAACTTCAATATGAAGCCATTATGATATATTCTATGAACTCCAGTAATCTCATTCAGAGTTGCAAAAATATAATTAGCTAACGGAATATGAATCGATGTTTCCTCATTCCTCCCTACTTTTTTTTTTGTTCGATTTCCATTATGATCATATTTTTGTGTAGGTAGGTCTAAAGTGAGTGGGTCTATTCGGCCCTCCACCGCAACCCGCAAGGGTTTATTGTGGCTCACACCTATTCACACTCGGCTTCTTAACGAAGCCGATTAGTTTGTATGGTGAGTGGTCTTTCAGGTCAGATGGTGAAAGTACGGATCTGCCGAACTCAAAGAACCTGATTCGATCTCAAGTGGGGCAAGCACAAAGTATATGCTCTGCAGTTTCATCATTTTCCAGACAGAGGCGACACACACTGTCTTCAGACAGTCCAAGTCTCTGCATTTGATGATTCAAATGACAGTGACCTGTAAGAAGGCCTGTTAGACATCGTAGTTCATCCCTACTGTAGTCCAACAACTGTTTGGAATCAAGCTTCAAATGGTGAATAAACGCCTTGGGAGTGAGCCAATCCAGGAAGATTCTGCCAGAAGTCCATAACTCTTCTTGCCATCCAGGTGTTGAGTGTTTGTTTGGCAAAGCCCAAAGCGATGCCAATGACAGGTTCTGGACCAATGAAGCCGCTTGCAGCACTCTCCTTTGCAAGAGAGTCAATCTCCGCTTGAAATACAGTCGCATAAGTTCCTAGACAGGTAGATTTTTCAATTTTGCTAACTGTAGACTGCGACACGTGTTGACCAGGGTATTTATTATTAAAAATTTCACAAACCTACTTTTGAGTTCTTGTTTTATTACCATAACCAATCATAATTAAAATGTCTATTCTTCGAGTCTCGGACAAATGAGCCATAATTAAATTTAATATGCCCACAAATATTATACTGACGTCTTTTAGTAACTTTAAATACCTAAATGACAGCAGCCTACTAGATTCATATCAATTGTTTATTTAGCTTTTTGTCCAATATTTTAGTATCTTCAAAGATTTTTTCCAGGATTTAAGGTTAGTAAGGAGCGTGTTACAGGGATGGTCTGTTTAATAGATCAGGTTATTGTCAAGAAGTGAATAATGGTCATTTTGAACATTTAATTTAATTGTAAAAATTAATTTTCTCAGTTATGATTGCACCAAACTTAAAAAATTTTATATTGCTGAAAAGGACTAAAATCTCTTTCCAACAAGGTGCCACACGACCCCCTTTGCTATTAAAAATTTTCGAGGGGGTGCTTATAATTCAGAAGGGGTGCTGGAGGGGAATAATATTTTCATACTGTAAATTGTCAATTTAAGAATAGAAATCGACCTGTTTCAGGTTTTTTCACATAGTACATAATGACGCTAAAAATGAATTTATTCCATACATATGGACCGCACTGTATAATCGGGTGTAAACCTGTTTGGAATGCAGTTTAAATAAAATCTATCTATCTATCTATCTATCTATCTATCTATTATGATATATTCTACGAACTCAAGTAATTTCATTCAGAGTTGCAAAATTATAATTAGCTAACGGAATATGAATCGATGTTTCCTCATTCCTCCCTACTTTTTTTTTGTTAGATTTCCATTATGATCATATTTGTGGGTAGTCATATTTCTGATTAATCGACTTTATTAATTTTGAATATATTCTCAATGTTTCGCCGACACGAATTGTTGGCATCTTCAGGTACGAATAGGAGTATTTGTACTCTGGGTAGTACTTACTTGTGATTTCTTGAACACCTAAATTAAAACTTTGTGGCACCGAATCACAAATGTGTAGCTTTTGGACTCTCGTTCATATAGTAAATGCTACAGAGAGACAGAAAACTAGTTCCCATTTGGCTGTCGATGTCGACGTTGTCCGATTCAAATAGACTGCCAACAAAAACTTAATAAGTATTTGGATTTCGTTTTTGATGACCATATAGATGGAATCTTGTCATCCTCACTTTTTACTAATGGTTATTCTCTTAACAATATGTGAGTCTGAATCTTGTGTGTGTGTGATTCAGCCTTATACCATTTTTGAGATGTATGGCTGCTTTCGACAGTGTTGAGCAGTATAGGACGAGCTATGTGATGCCCTTGGGCTCTAGATTACTAGATTCATATAACAACTAAGTATTTATCTCTTGGCAACGTTCTTCGCCAACCAATTGGACATTTTCAGCAGATAATTACATTTTAGAACAACTAGTTTTACTGAAATCAGACTTCTATACTTTAACTTCAAAAAGTAAAAGGTAAAAAGTCGAAAATTCTTGCAGAATCAATAACTTACGACATCTGGTAATTTGAATTCTCCATACAAACAGTTTTGACCAGTTTTCTTTTTGTAAAGCCTAAATTCTGGCGTTTTCATAGTAGTTTCGGTATTGGACAGTGTTTCAATGACAACTTTTTTTGGTTCAGCTGATCCTCCAACTTCACTCATCAAAGACTTCTGTGTACTTTCAGCCATCTTCTGGTCAATTTCCCGCTGCTGAATCCTATGTGTCTGCAACTTCCCAAAGGTTTTTCTATTGAGGAGAGGAGTTTTTTCATCTTCACATGATAAATTATATTTGTCTTCGATTCCTTGAAAAACAACGGCTAGAAAAAAGCTTTTGAAAGCCGGATTCTCGGCAACTTTCTTCAAAAAGGCTGGATGAATAGCTACATCGCAGACCTTGGCGTCTTGCCCTTTTTTATCAGGTTCTGTTCTGATTTCTCCAAGGCTCATTGGTACTTTATAATCTCCTGGTTCATCTGATTCCATAAGCTCTTCCAGTTCTTTTACGGAGATATCTTTTGGTGGAGGTATAGCATCTGTTTGGCAAACATTGACGAATACTTTGGTGCCGCTTCCTACTTCTTTTGTTTTAACGCAAAAACCTAAAAAAAATATTAAATATAGTTGTTGAAAAATTCCATATGTTGATTTTACTTATAATCTGTTCAGAAATGAGAGACTACAGAACTATATTTTGATTCTGCTATAAACTGGTAACGTAAAATTTAGATATGACAACGCGCTTTACTCTCAATCATTATTGGTTTTACTATAGTTATTTTTCTCATCCTATGTTTTCACAAGAGTTATTGTAATTCTTGTATGCATTGAGCATTTCATACTCACGATATAAAAATCGTGGGTCAAAACAAGCTTCGTTGTCGAATTCCCAAAATACGACGATCATTGCGCTGTACCCTGTATACTCAAAAAAAAACAATCTTCAGGCTTATTCAAACTTGAAGTGCTTTTGGATGTTTGCGTGAAAATGTTTATCTGGCAATTATGCCTTGCGGAACGTTTTCAATGGCCTAATCAAGCAGTTGAATAATCATACAGTATAAACAAACAGATATGTTTAATGAGTGTCATTTGTATCCTATGCAATTGCATACATGGGTTGTATTAACATTTTGGATGTTCCAAAAACGCTTTACTCGTATGGTTATCCTAAATTATTTTTAATTCAAAACAATTTTCTTTCATGAACAGAAAAATTTGCAAATATTTGTTGTAATATTCATTACTTCAAGACTGATTTTTTTATCAATGCTGAAGGAGACAGATTAAATTATTAGGTAACATTTGATTTGAATTGAAGATATAAATCGAACATATGTAAAGATAAGCATTGTAGGAAAGATAGGATATCTTTTTCTCTGATATAATTATATAGGTTAGATATAAAAAATGCTGACGCGCGTTATGTGTTTGTCTATCTGTCGATTTTGACGACTTTCAATTAGATAAAGCGAATGGATGGCGATGAAGTGCATTTCATTAGTTTGGACTTCCGTTATCTAATATGATATGAATTGATTTGAAATCCCTGAAAGGATCAGTAAAAAATTAAAAAAAGATTAACGGAAAAATAACAATTCAATTAACCAAAGAACTGAAATTGCAAAGAAATAATGAACATTGGTATATGTAAATTTATCTTCATCAATCGACTATCTTCTTCAGTTTCGGCGATCTCAGTAGTGATCATCGAAAAAGTGGCCACCCCATACATACCCCATACATACATTTCAAAGGAATTCGATTATGGCAAACCGAGTGGTATGACCCACTATATTAGCAAATTATTTGAAAATTCTGATTGTATCCAACCTAAAAATATAATGGAACCACTCGGTGTGACACATACACTGTCATTATAAAATTTCTTTCGTGGTCATGACAAAGCTTAATTGTTGAGGTTCATTTGTTCGATTTGAAGAAAAGATATTATCTTGTAAAATCAAATTTTCATCATTAAATTTCAATAATGAAGAGTATCGAAGAGTTGATGAGTCGAATTTAGAACAAAAAGACTGTATCTCGACGCGCATTTCGCAAACCAAATCAGCATCATCAGGAAATGTAGAACTCTTTCTGACATCTCCCGATGATGCTAACTTGGTTAGCGAAACGGGCGTCGAGAGACAGTATGTTTGTTCTGGCGAGAAAAAGTGTGTTTAATTGTACCAAAGAGGTCTAATAAAAATGTGATTTTCAGGAGGTGGATTTGAAATAAGCGGTTCAAAATTCCCAGGGGGAGGTTCAAATATTGGTGCAGCTGGTGTATACNAAATTGTCACCATTAAATATAAATGAAAAAACAATTGTTATGAATGTATATAATTCTTTAAGAATACAATATCCGCCCGAAATAAAAAGTAAGGAGGAAGTAGTGCAAAAATGCGCGAGTATGACCGGTGTCAATAGATCGACAATTTTTACGTACTTTTTTATGTACTACCTACTCCTTTTCGGCAATTTTAATTGTAATTTACATTTATTTTATACATTATTGACTTGTCATAGCACTAAGGTGTAAGAACTTGACCAATAAAAAATCTAATCTAATCTAAAGATAGGAAGCGCTGAAAGAAATTTCCTGTATTTTTTCCGATTGATTCCGCCGTTACTTGATGAAGATCCATAGTAATTGCATAAACAACCCTTTACGATTTGATCTTCACGACCTATTTCTGAAGTTTGTGAAGATCAAATGATAAAGCGTAGTTTATGAAAATACCCTATAGATATTTTTCCATCAACATTGTTTTTCGAAGCTATCCGTATATCCTCGTATATCCGTTAATTATAGACGGCCCTGTATTTTCCTAATTTGAAAAACGTATCCTTGAGGTATATTCAAATAGACACGACAGATTCAAATATATTGAGTTTCATAATAATTCAAATTATTCAATCATTGTATCTTAGTCATCATCATCAAGGTCGTTGATACGAGTGATTAACGGCATATTTTGTGTATCCGGTACAAAAATACATAGAGAAGTGATTCTTTTGACACCTCTATTCATGGTCACAGGTATATGTTTTGCATGGATCACGGTTGAACATTCATATATATTTCCCGACTAACGGTATCACAATGACTGTGATGGTTAAAAATAATGGAATACCTAGGAATAATCATGGCAATGTTGACGATTCTTCATATTGTCAACCCATAGAAAATTTAATTTCTCATTTTTCATGATCTCCTACCACGTAGTAACGGCTACATCAATTAATTTATTAATTACGAAGTATTTGAGCGCCTCAGTAAGAAAAGGGGCTATACTCCAGTCATATTAGGTTGATCTGCGGAAAAATTCCTACTGAGCTGAATTTTGGTATACATCTTCATTATGGCGTTTTAATGAAGATGTGAAAAATCGACATTGATATCGAGCCGGCTAAAAAAGTTATAAGGGTCAAAAGGTCACGAAAATCAGTTTTTCGCGAATATCTCGCGGCCTATGGCTCGGAGGTCAATAAATGTCATTATAAAAATTATTCCTCA